CTTCAAGACCAGTCTTAGTTATATGTCACCTTCTCTTTTTTTAAAGGGGGGGGAACAAAGTGGTATTGCGGTAAATAAGGATCAGGATAAACAAATAGGCTGAATAGATGTTTATTCAGGGAGAAATAACTTACAACCTAGACAGATGAACACCAGGAAATTCAACCCGATCCTCTCCTGTCCGAGTCACGCCAGAAAGAGAGCGCCTTCCTGGCCCCCTCCGACCTCCTCCTCAGGTCACCTCCGCCCAGCTCCACCCCCCAATGGGCGTGGTCAGTGCTACAGAAGGACTACCTCACTACAATTCCCCTTTTAGTCTAAAGAAAAGATTTAGGCTTAATACAAAACTATATACAAAACAGTGAATAACAAGTGTGCTCTAAGAAAAGGAAAATCGAGAACAAAATGACCTACATATCTAGTCCTAGGGTGAGGGCATAATGGAGTTTACAATAGAGTTGTCCTAAGCTGGAAAACGTAAGTCTAGTACCTAATATATCTAACTAGGAAGAGAGAATAATAGTTGTGATAGTTTAATCTTCAACCTCATCAAGACCTGAGAAGGAAAATAACAATACTAGAGTAGACAGGAAATGCGGATGGACAACTTCCAAAACGGTGCAGCAAGGACAGAAACAGCAAGCCACCTGAACAGTCACCCTAGGTCTCACAGCGACGTTGGTACACCCAGATTTGGCTAAGGCCAAGAGAACTTGACAGACCACAACAACAGCAGGGAAATAGAATGGCTGTCTTACCCTGACTTGGCAAGGTCAAGCAGTCTTCTATATTTGTCTCCTGCAAGCACATAGGACTGCATGTCCAAATCAGTGGTCAAGGTGGGGGCAATTCTATGCCCAACAGGCCATTAGCTGAGGCGAGATTGAACTCCAGCAGGAGCAACAACAGTGTCCAACATATTTTCGGGAAAATGCACGGTGCTGTCAGGAGCAACAGTGTCTCATGTCAATGGAGTACTAATATTAAAACATTTAAATGCCATGTTCTGCATGTCTATGAAGTGATTGAAGATTAAGCATCTATATCTGATTAATCTCATAGGTACAGGAAATGTGAGTGAAGATAATCTGTAATACTCGGGAACTTAGCTAAAAGCCTGATTAAAACTTTCCTGAGTAAAGCAGGAACAAATACTTAAACAATATAACTATTTACATATACCTACATGTAAATCCCTAAAATAGAGGTAGAGTATAAGTGTCAAGACAAGAGGTAGAACTATAAAGGGCAGCAAGATAAATATCCCAAATTGTATCAATATACAAAATGTCTTGAACACAAGAAAAGTATACATACATAGAATATGGTAAAAAATAATGTGCATAAATATTATAAGTGGAAACATTTAACACAATATAACAAAATATAAACTTAATTTTACATATCTTACCACATAGGAATACATAACAATGTAAGCTGTAAAATACTATCTCATTCATACTCAAATTCTCAAGGAAATAGGCTAATCTACTTATATCCCATCTAAACCATACCTTTACCCACCATTCCCTATTCCTGTCTAAAAGATAAACCCGAGTGTAAGCATCACCCAATCCCAAATAACTAAAACCAACCCAAAGACGATGACTATTATCCCAAATTTCCAAGGGTAGGGAAAGGGGGCGTAGTCATATTAAGATTACTTCCTGCTGAAATGGGACGATGATTGCTCCAATGGATCCTGTAGGAAGAAAATTTTTAGCAACCAAATTTCTCAACAGAACTGGCTGTGACATATGTAGTTAGTCACTGTGTGGCAGAAAATTCTTGACTGTAGTTCTATTTGAAACTGGCCAGGGTGTAATAAAAAGGTGCACCATTACAGCTAGCTAGTCATGAGTTGTCTCAAGCAAAACAGTCTCAAACCGGTTTTAGGGTGATGTTTGTAGTTCCGATGCATCAGGTTGAGTCAAGTGGAAATGATGATGTGGGGCCCCATCTTCTTTCCGGAAAGTTCAAAGACTGCTGTTAGGAATCGTTATTATTCCTTGTGGAAAAGTTACACATCAATATTAAAGTAAAATTTTCAAGTTTAAGGTATGCATTAGGGAAAGACAACAATAAGCATTAAAAGTATGTGAGAAAATTAGGATTTCAGAGAGAAATTTGCAGCCGGTTGTGGTGGCGCACGCCGGTAGGATTTGCTGAAGGAGGCAGAGGCAGGAGGACAAGATGACCACACCACATAAAACTGACTATTTGGCCAAAGCACCTTTCCTTCTCATCCCCAAAGTGGAGTGTTTATTAAGTTGGTGGGGGGGGGGGATGTTAGTTTGTGAGGGTGAGTATTTGGACCAGACTAGAAAATCAGGCCTGAAGGCTGGTCAGTATGGCATACACCTCTATATTACCATTCAAGGTTTCTACAACTCCCTAGACATGTGTCAGCTCTCTGGGCTTAGGGAGTCTACAGAGTAGCATACAGCCTATGGTGCCAAAGCATCATGCAAGACTTAAGAATCAACTGGGAGAATATAGATTGGGAGTTTGGGATTTGGGTACCAGAGCATGTGCCATTTAGCATTCACATGCGTATACTTTGTGTGTTACCTCTACAGACAAGGTGACAAGGTTGACTCTTGTTATCTTAAGAATGTGCTACAGTCTGATCATGACTCTCATCAATAATGGTCCCACTACTGGTGGTGTTAATAGAATAGACAAGTGCATACAATTGTACAAGTAGTTGATTTTGTAAAGGCCTCCACAATTTGCAAAGTTCTGTTATATTTATTGTCCCAAAGCTCAAGTGAGGACAGGAAAGATTGACAGAGCCAAAACTGAAAGACTGTTCTCCTGCAAACCAGTGGGTGCTGATCCCTCCCACAGTGCTACACAAAGGAGCTCAGCGAATGCTTCTTACTCAGGTGTTAGAGGCTCTTGAGGGAGTCCTCTACTGCCTTGTCCTTGTCAGGTAAATGGCAGAGCAAGCAGCCTTGTTGGTTCCCTCCTGCTGAACAAAAGATGGATGTCATCTCTCTATATAGTTTTAAGCACCTTTAAAAGTTTCTTTATATTTGTGGATGAATAAGGAATTAACCATTGAATGACTTTTTATCCAGATAGGAGGATTTTTTAACTGAAAAATGTGGAGCATTAAACATTTTCCTGTTGCTTATGGAAGAGTATATTGGGTGTGTTCCTGGGTATCTCCTTGTGTCCTTCACTCCTTATAAATGTTGGTGTAAAAGTAAACTTATTAACAAGATCCTGTCTTGTCCAAGTCAGTTCTAAAGCTCATATCAGCCTCTTCATTAGTAGCAGCAGGATAAACTGAGCCTTTGCTTTATGATAGTACAAAAAGATAACACATTTCTTCAGCTTTTGTTCTTCTGAAATGAAACTCCCAACCCCCACCCCTGTGTTAGGTAGAATAAACATACAGGTTGATGAAGGTTTTTATACCTTCTGTTTGGTACCTTCTGAAACTGCTCTAGGAGATGAGATTGGAGTTGCACTAAGAACACAGGGTCAGTAAATACAAATGCCAAGACCAGACTGTAAACCTTGCCTGCTGGAATAAAACATCCTCTTTTCTTTCTCTTGGGATTTATGCCAAGGTGTGACTGCTCTGTGGGATAAAAAAAAAAAAAAATTCTTTTAAGCCAGAGTTTACCTGGCTGGCCTGAACTTTTCTATATAGAAAAGTTTAGGTTTAACTCACCTGCCTCTACCTCCTGAGTGCTGGGACTAAAGGCATGCTCCGTTGTAGCCATCAGGACATACATTTAAAAAAGTTAAACACCATTGCTAGAAGAAGCAGAGATAGGCTTGCTGGCTGTTGAGGTCAGCCTACTTACTGAAAATAGAAAACCAGCCTCACAAGACAAAAGAACAAGCAGGCGGACTGCACCTGAGGCATGGTACCTCAGTGTTACTGACCTGTGTATAAGACATACGTACAAGAGTAATTGCAAACTTGTTTATAAACCGAACAGATTTTGAGTCGGTACAAAGTGAATAACTAATAACTTACTAAAGACCATTCTCAGGTAAATTCATTATCATAACTATTTAAATTGGCTTTAACTCTAGGAAGTAGCGATGAAGCTAATAGAAATGGGCTTTAAAAGTGTTTAAATGCCTCTTATTAGCAAGTTAACAATCTTAACCAAAAAAAAAAAAAAAAAAAAAAAACAGTTTTAGCAGTGTCTTGGTCTCTGGTAAAATAATCTGTATTCATTCACAAGTTTTTGGGATCACTCAATATTATATGCTACCTTAGCCTACAGTGAGTACCTGGTAAGTCTACGTAAGCACATGTTTTGCAGAGTGGCTGATGCAGTAAAGACTTTACTGGCTGAGGTAATAAACATGAGGTACTTCTAGATCAGACTAAGCAATTTTTATAATAAGGGACTATTCTTGAAATTACCATGTATCCTCCTCATTATGGTTCTGCAGTGAAGGAACAGAAAGAAACGCTATAGATAATTTTTAATTTTTAAATGGGGTAAGTTTTTTTAAAAAAAAAAAAAAAAAAATGGAATTGAAGCTAGAGAGATGGCTCAGTGGTTAAGAGCCCTGGCTGTTCTTCCAAAGGACCAGGGTTCTGTCCACACACCCACATGGCAACTCAAAACTCTCTGTAACTTCCAGTTTCCTGCTGAAAAACACCAGTGTACATAAAATAAAAATAAATAATTTTAAAAACTGGAGGCAAGAGACTGGTTAATTCCACCCTTACTGTTGACTAGCATTGTGACCTCCCAGTGTTGAGTTTTCCCATGTGAGTATCACGTGAGTACCAAATGAGGGGACATTGTAAAGCACCCAGTGTAAGATTAGCAGCCAGTTAGTGGCAGATCTTGATAATGTCACAAGAAAACAGGGTGCTGCAGGAGCAGGGAGAATGGGTGCCGTAGGGATAAGAATGTATAGAAAGGCAAGGAGGAATCCGGGTTAGTCGGGATATTGGCCATGAACATTCCCAGAGCCTAGCCTGGGAACCCAGTTTCACATTGGCATTGTCTTTTCAGGTGGACACCATGTCTTTGAAGATTCAGACCAGCAATGTAACCAACAAGAATGACCCCAAGTCCATCAACTCTCGGGTCTTCATTGGAAACCTAAACACAGCTGTGGTAAAGAAGTCAGATGTAGAAACCATTTTTTCCAAATATGGCCGTGTGGCCGGATGTTCTGTGCACAAAGGCTATGCCTTTGTCCAGTATGCCAACGAGCGCCATGCCCGGGCAGCTGTACTGGGAGAGAATGGACGGGTGCTGGCTGGACAGACTCTGGGTAAGTTAACCTCTTCTATCTCAGTAGCTACTGCTCAGGATTTTATGATTTCAACAAATAAATATTATATTTTTAATTCTTAAATTGAGTGCCAATAGGGGATTGTTATAGAGGCCCCTTTTCTCCTGTCCTTGCTTTCCCAGTTCCTCTTTTAAAAAAAAAATTATTTGTGTTTCTGGGCTTGATGGCATCTGCTGTTAATCCCAGCACTTGGGAAGCAGAGGCAAGTGCATTTCTGTGAGTTCAGGGCCAGCCTGGTCTACAGAGTGAGTTCCAGGACACTCAGGGCTACACAGGGAGACGCCTGTCTCAAAAGGAAAAAAAAAAAAAGTGTGTAAATACACGTACAGGTGTATATGTAAACCATGGTTCCTGTGTAGAAGTCAGAGGACTAGAGTTGGTTCTCTCTTTTCACCTTTATGTGAGTTCTAGGAATTAAACTTGGGTCATCAAGCTTACTAGGCAAACACATTACCCTGGTCTTCATAGCCTCCTTTCCCCCCTTCCCTTAAATTAAAAAAAAAAAAAAAAATTATATACAATGCATTTTGAATGCTTTTTTTCCCTTTCCTAACTCCTTCCAGATTTTACTCACCCATCTAATTTTGTTTTCTCTCAAAAAGAGAGAGAGAAAGAAATAACTAAAAACAAGAAAAATCAAGCAAAAAAACCCAAAAAACAAACAAAAGAGATAAAAGTGCCAAACAAAAGCCCCCCTTCAGAAAAAACAAAAAATATGGCCAACTTCTCCTGGACATGGGGCCTGCCCTGGTATGTAGTTGATAGACCCACTGGCACCCCATTAGAGAAAATTGATTTTCCTTTTGCTGGCAGATATTAGCTTCTTGTTTAGGGGTAGGACCCATTATCTGCTTAACACCTTTTAGTGCTGCAACCCAGTTAGGCTTGAGCCTGTGTAGATTCTTATGTGTGCTACCACAGCCTCTGAGCTCATATGTGCATTAGTCCTGGTGCATCTGGAAGACACCATTTCTTTGACTCTTACAATCTTTTCCAGCTCCTCTTCTCCATAGATTCCTGTGCCTTGAGGGAAGTGGTTTGACAAAGACACTTAGAATTGATTGCTGCAAAGTATCATGTTGTTCAGTTCTAAGACTCTTGTGTTAATTCCTGTCTATTACAAGAAGAAGCTTCTCAGATGTGGGTTGAGCAATGCACTCTCTCATCTACCCCCATAGCCTCTTAATAACAAGCTTTATGATTCCAGTTAAAATGCAGATTCTCCATAGAAAGGAAACAAAATGCACTAGTATAGCCTGTTACCCCAATCTATAGAAGATACGGGTTAGAGCCTTTTCTAAAAACTATGAGGAGCTGTGAATACAAGGACTAAAGGGAAGATGTGTGCTCTTGGCATTATTGATTACATACATATGAAATGACTAATGGTGTCTACCTTACAGTGTTTGTGTGTGCATGTGTGTGTGCTTGATTGCTCATACACTTCTTAGTATGTGTTTTAGAAGGTCCATCTGTATGTGTATGTATTAGTGAATATGAGATATGCAGATGTGATTATATTTGAGTGTGGGAGCAGGTTGCTTTTTTTTCTGAATATTTCTTGATCTTAATAAGCTAATAACTATGCTAGGCATAGAGATGTTTAGTGTAATGCCCATGAGTATTCATTGACTTCTTTGCCTATAGGCAATCTGACTATACTTGAGTATAGATGTTATGACTTTCTTACCTGGATATATGTATGTGAGGGTGTGTGTGTGTTTATATATTCCTGATTTATATGAATATACTTGAAATTATGTATTTATATGGTATATAAATACTTATCTATATATCTGAATGCATATGAATCTAGAACTAGGTATCCATGTGATGTCCTGGTATTCTTCTAATGTTTGAAAATGTCTAAAGACCTTTGGCTCTCTCAGTCCCATGTGTACACTATGTAAATACAGAGTCAATGATGGTGATGTGTGTTGGCATACTGCTGTCATGTTAGCATTCCAACTCTGCTTCTTCCTCCACAGACATCAACATGGCTGGAGAGCCCAAGCCCAATAGACCCAAGGGGCTAAAGAGAGCAGCAACTGCTATATACAGGTGAGGCTCTATGTCTGTTTTTTGTCTGTGTTGGTTGGGCCCCTCTTTTCACAGAGGGGGTAAATGCTGAGAGTGACAGTGTGCTGAGCTTAGAATTTAGGAAGACATTTGGAGATGAGGACTTGTGGAGAAATGGGCTGAGTGGCCATCTCCCTTTGTTTTCCCAGTGGCTACAGCTTTGACTATGATTACTATCAAGACTACTTCTATTCGAGGTGAGCAGGGAAGGGGTATGTCAAGGCATTATTAAATTAGCCAAACTGGAAGGGTCTTAAGAGATTGGTGATGTAGCTCACAAATTCCTCTGATTGGTAACTGAAGCACAGAAATGTGAATGGGTCTTTGCTTCAAGGTTTTTTCACAAATCAGGGACAGAGCTAGGACTAGGATCCCATTTTGTAAGTGCTCAGGCCGGAGCTCTTACTGTCACACCAAACTCTCAGTCTGCCTTGCCTCTTCTAGTTCTGTAGGATAGGGGAGTGTATAGCTAAAGGGTGAACACACCTGGGTAACTGGGATACAAAAACAGGCCCAGTGCTTTCACAGGTAGTGCCCATAGAGACTCTGTTCAGTCTTTGCCTCTGTACAGTGCTCACTCAGCCAAAAAGGAAGATAGTTTGGTCTGACCCTTATGACTAAGAAGTCGCAGTTATTTGGAGGCCTGGCTTAGTCCATGATGAGTTTCCATCTGCCTTCTATCCCCAGTCCTACCCAGATTTCATTCTTGAAGTCTTCCAGAGGCCCAGTTGAGAAGAGTTTTACAAACTCATTATCCTCCTATATCTGCCTGTAGAGTGTGGGAATTACAAGACTAATCACAGTGCCAGCTCCTGGTCATGTGCTTGACTAGAAGTTAGGATAAAGATTAAATCCAGACTTCTCCCTCCTTGCCCAGACAGCCCAGGGAAGAGAACTTTCCTGAACCACTTTCTCTGCTCTAAGTGTTCTCAGGAAATAATGTGGTACAGCGGAAAGTGTCATAGCCTGGGAGCCAGGGAGCCTGGAGGCTCCTCTCAGCTATGCCACTGAGTAGATTCCCTGTCTCCTCTCAGCTATGCCACTGAGTAGATTCCCTGTCTCCTCTCAGCTATGCCACTGAGTAGATTCCCTGTCTTGGGCAAATTCTCCTGCTACTAGTCAGTGAGACTATAGGCTTATTGCAAATGATCTCTCAGGACTCCTGAAGTTCTTACTTGTATGGTTCAGTGATTTCTGACCAGGGTCAGACTCATTACCTCCCCTTGTGGGTCAAACTGAAAGATCAGAGGCTGATCACTAGCTGCCACCAACTGCAGGACTCTTTGAACGGAAGCACCAAGAAATGGGACCTTGAGTATCCTAGTGGTGGCAGGTACTGTGATTCATCCAAAAAATAGTTCTAGAGTGTATCCCTGATCAAGGCTTTGCTTCTCTTCATAACCATGGTCGTTGTACATGCGGTGGGAGAGTTCCCATTCAGCCTTGGGTCTAATTTAGCTGCCCACCCTTGAAATGCTGTTAAGTGGTTGGCCTATATCTCTGGAGAAAACAGATGTTGAAGTGTCCAAAAGAAAAAAGTTGCTTAGAAGTCGGAGGCCATGGGCTCCTCGATTTAATTTGTCAGTCCCCTGGTACCCAGCTTTTGCTTGTCAAACCTTCTCAAGTGTTTTTAATGAGGTTCTCATGCTCTACCCTTACTGCACACTCAGGTAGCCAGTGAACTTGGACACCCTCTTCATTAAGTAGATGAGAAAACCAAGGTTCAGGGGTTAGCCATCCATTTTCTAACCTCTCTGTTTCTAGGTGGGGACTTAAAACACTGTTTTGACATTTACAAACTGATCGAAGGTTGGGTGATTATCTGAGTAGAAGGCGGTGACCTCAGGAGAGGCTCCTTTCTGACTCTGGGCTGTTTGTTCCTATATTGCTTCTATATTTCTTCTCCTATCATGGCTCTGAGGGTACAGTGGAAATAGTAAGTAAGGATTTCATTAGCCTTTAGGATCTGGAAAACAAACCCCTTTCATACCAAGGGCTTGATGGATCAGGCACTTCTTCCCTGGCCCTTTCGGATCACACAGGTAAAGTTAGTGTTGTAGTGCCTTCTGGTGGTCACAGGCCATGCTGCAGCCTCTGGTCTATTTTTTGCAGGCTGTTTGATTATCGAGGTCGCCTTTCTCCAGTGCCCGTGCCCAGGGCAGTCCCAGTGAAGAGACCCCGTGTCACGGTCCCTTTGGTTCGCCGTGTCAAAACTACAATACCTGTCAAGCTCTTTGGCCGTTCTACAGCCATCACTACTGGCTCAGCCAAGATCAAGTGTGAGTGTTTGTTGTTGTTGTTGTTTTTTTTTTTTTTTTTTTTTTTTTTTTTTTTGAGACAGGGTTCCGATGTGTGTCTCTAGCTGTCCTGGAACTCACAGTGTAAACCAGACTGATGTAAAATTCACAAAACTCCTTCTACCTCTGCCACCTAAGTGCTGGAATTTAAGATGTGTGCCACCACATCCTAGTGACATCTTTCAATCTTTCTATATCTTAAACCCCTTTGCGGTTGCATCAGATATTTGCAATTCATAACAATAGCAAAATTGCAGTTACAAAGCAGCAACAAAATATTTTTATCATTGGCAGTCACCACAGCACAAGGCACTGTATTAAAGGGTTGGAAGATTGAAAACCACTGTTCCAGATGTTTTTTTTTTTATCATTGCTAAAAGGATAGAATCACATTTTTTTAACAACTGATTTTCAAAATTTTAATCTTTGTTTTTATTTTAAGTATATGGGTGTTTGCCTGCAATATGTCTCTGCACTGGGTATGTGCAGTGCCTGTGGAGGTTAGAAGAGGGTGTCGGATCCCTCTGGGACTGGAATTACAGTTTTGAGCTGTCATGTCTGTGCTTGGGATCAAACTCAGGTCTTCTGCAAGGGCAACCAGTGCTCTTAGCCACAGAGCCATCTCTCTAGCCCATAGAATCATACTTTATTAAGATTGAGAAATAAAGGAGTAAATCTATAGTTTGAAGTTACTCTTAATAATCAAGTGTTTGCATGCATTTCTTAAAAAGTTCAGTGCTGTGGTGTGATAGTGTTTTTTTCTCTAGTAAGGATAAGTTCAGATTTATTCTGGTCTTTGTGTACTGTAGTCAGACACCCAGGAAATCTAACTGCAGAAGGTATTTTTTGTACCTTTAAATAAAAACAGACCACAACCTGTAACACAGCTGAAAAGACACATGTTATTACTTAGGTGTTACAGAACACACCACAGGTTCTTATTTATTTGTTTGTTTGTTTGTTTGTTTTTCTTTTTGAGACAGGCTCTCAGATTAACAAGATTAACCTCGAACTCACAACATTACTGTCTTAGCCTTCCAAATGCTGGAATTGTAGATGTGCGGCACACATGGCCCAGACCTATATTCCTATTTATCTGCAGTCCCTATAGGATTGGGAGTTCCAGGGCTTATGAACAGGATCGTATGTGCGGACTGGTCACCCCTGGGGCCTCTTGGATCTCCAAGAAGAGACCTTTTCCCTTGGCAGGAAAAGAACCAAAAAAGAATGGCTTTCCTAGCTGACAGAATGAGGCTGGGGTTTTGTTTGCATTGTACCCGTAAGTGATAACCCTGTCTTCCCTCTACTATCAGTAAAGAGCAGCGAGCTACAGACCATCAAAACAGAGCTGACACAGATCAAGTCCAACATCGATGCCCTGTTGGGTCGCTTGGAACAGATCGCTGAAGAACAAAAGGCCAACCCAGGTCAGCTTTGAGGGCGGCACTTGGGAAGATAGTGTGTCCCAGGGGTTAGGGACTTGAAGTTCCAGGGCCCCCAGACCTGCTATATAGTGGCCAACTCTCACAAAGGATTGCTGAGTAGCTGCTCTAGCTGAATTCTGGTCCCTTTCTACTACTTCCTTTATCCTTCAAGATGGCAAGAAGAAGAGTGATGGCAGCAGTGCTGGAGGAGGGGGCAGCAGTGGTGGCGGCAGCAGTGGCAATGCTAGTGGTGGTGGCAGCGGCAGTGGCGGCAATGGTGGTGGCAGTGGCAGCTGCAGCAGTCGGCCCCCGGCCCCCCAAGAAGACACAGCCTCTGAGGCAGGCACACCCCAAGGAGAAGTCCAAACTCGAGATGACGGTGATGAGGAAGGACTGCTCACACATAGTGAGGAGGAACTGGTAAGGGCCTGGCTAGTGGCGGCACTTGGGAACGCTGGGGCTGTTCCCCCTTTGGAAGCAGAAAGGAAGGAGCTCAGAGTGTTAGTCCTGTGAGGAATAGGGAAGAATGAGCAGTATAGTTTTTGAGCTGCAAGTCAGAGATCCCACTGAAGACTGGGGCAGACCTCAGCAAAGGCACACCCAATCCACCTTCTGCTCTAGGTGTATTAAAGAGGAGGAGAATTGCATGGACAGCCTCTTAGGAATGGTTAGTGTTGACGATGACATGGGAATTTTAATTTCACATGAGAATTTTCTAAAAGCTATTGCCTTTCAAGCATCTAGTAGGCTGACTCTTAAAGGAGTAAACTCCTGGATATGCTCTAAGTATTCAGGGTGAGGTTAGGAGCCATGAGGGGGCCTAAATTGAGTGAAAAGGTCTGATTCTTTCAACATTCAAGATGCCTGCTACAGTGTTTGCTGCTTGTTTAGTGAACACTTGAGTTGAATATCACACTTAATAGGTTAGATTTGAATGGCCACATTTACCCCGAAAAAGCTGAAGCTCAAATGTCCAGGTACCTTGCTCAGACCTTGTCTGTGATAGGCATAAATCCTCCTTAATGCCCCACTTGTTTTTTATTTTCTTTCTTTTTTAAAGCCTACCTGGTACTTCATTTTAATTCTCTTAGGCATAGTACTCTCAGTAAAAGCTCTAAAGACTAAAAACTAACCCAAAGTTGGGCAGCCCACTCATCTATATGGCTTTAAATTTTACTGTAGTCCATGGTCTTTCCATGCATAGAAATGTGTACCTGTTACACCAGCAAATTCCAAGACTTGTCCCTTCCCTTTCCTGTGGGATCTTCAAATAACCCTTCAGGATCCTAAGCCAGTTTTTGGCTGGGTTTCTTTTGTTAAACCTCCTTTCCAGTGGTCCTCCAGGCAGTGCTCTGAGCCACAGGACATTCCTGAACAGATAGCTAAGGAGAACTTGGGACCTACAGTGAGTAATCTGTGCTTGTCTTCCTCCTCTCAGGACCACAGCCAGGACACAGATGCAGAAGATGGGGCCTTGCAGTAAGCAGGTATGGAGTGCCTAGGGAACACAGGAAATGAGTAAAGTGAAGGCTGTAGTTTCTTCCTGACATGGGTCTAGGGAGCCATACTGTGCCAAGGCTGAATGAAGCCTTACTCCTGTAGCCACACATATCAGGGCTACTCAGAAAGTGCTGCCTTGGGAGCAGGATGACAGTGGAGGAAAACCCCAGGAACTGGGTCAGTAGAAGGAATGCTGTGCAGCTTAGTCTGCATCTTAGTGAGGGAGAAGCATTCCATAGAGGGGAGAGAACAGACAGCCTTATTGGAGCACAGTATCGTGAGCCTTCAAGGTGTAGTAAGGACAAGAGCTGCCTGTTCTGTAGCCCAGCTCTGCAGAGTAGGGGAAAGGTGCCATTCATTTTCAGAGGAGATGACTAGTAATGTCTCATGGTCCCTGGTTCAGTTTGACCCTGTTAAGAGAAAGAGATGTCCTGCAAGCTTTTGTGACAGGTGCTATTGATCTGATACCTTCTACCCTGCAAGATTAGGATTTTGTGTATATCATAGAAGTGGAAATGCAGATGTTGAAGGGTAGAATGAAATATCAGCATGTCTCATGAGATTCCAAGACAGTAATTGAAGCTTAAGTTTCGAATTCAATAATGTGCAGCCCCAAAGCCTCCACTCTGGCCACTGTCTGCTATCCTGTTATGCCCTACCCTAGAGGAGGTTTACAGGTGACAGAGAAGTGCTCTGATAGATCACACATTCGTAATACAGTGTCTCTATCAGTAAGAGCTTCCAGATTAGTTCAGAAAATTCCTCATGTTAAGTCTTTTCCTCTTGAAATTTGATGAATTTATTTTTACCCAGAAGGCTATTTATTATATATTGTGAAGCTAGTTCATGTCAGGTATTAAGGCTCAGGTGGGGAGACAGCTCAGGGCAGGGGTTGAGCCTTTCCCATGATTAATTACATGATCAGAAAATTGGGAAAGGTGCAGACCTAGTTCTGCAGACAGTCCACCCCGTTTCCTTACCCCTGTCATCAGAGTTTCTATCTCAGCCTTAGTGTCTTCTTTGCCTTGACAGGAGAAATGGCCACCAGCAGAAGGGCATCACTGTCTCTGGCCTCAAGCCAGGCACCCATCTCTGGATGCCAGATTGTAGCGGGTACCAGAGGAAAGCTGGCAGCAGGCACTCCTCTCCCCATGCATCCCAGCCAGTGAGTGCTACGTCCTTTGCAAGTGGAGTTACTGGCCTACCCTTACCCCATGCACTCTTGTCTGCGCACCGCCTGGGCCAAAGGGGCAGAACACATTCTGCCTTTCTTCCCCAGGGAATTCCCAGGCTTGGATTTTTCTATAGGTTTGAAGGGAGGGTGGAAGGGTGGGGGGAACCTGACAATAAAGAGATTGGATCCAAATATGCTCAGATGGAATGGTTTGTTTATTTGGTTGGTTTTGTTTACATTGTTACTGTGCATGTATTGTGTGGGGTGGGATAAGTGTATGTCACACCATTTCTGGAGGTCAAAGGACAACTTTATAGAGATACTTTATCCACTGAGCCTTCTTCCCACTGTCTCTACTTATATGATAAAGCACTATGATCAAAAGCAGGTTGGGGAGGAAAGGGTTAATTTTATCTTCTACTTCCAGGTAACAGTCCATCATTTGGGGAAGTCAGGGCAGGAACTTGGAGGCAGGAACTGATACACTGGCCATGAAGGATTGCTGCTTGCAGGTTTGCTCCTCGTGGTTTGCTCAGCCTGCTTTCTTATAGTGCCCACATTGGCTGGGCCTTCCCACCTCAGCTCAATCAAGAAAATGCAGTATAGGCCAGTCTGGTGGAGGAATGTTCTCTTTCCCAAATGACTCAAGCTTGTGTCAAATTGACAAAACAGCCAGCACATATGCCTGTGGTTTTTTTCTCACAGTGGTCTTCTAGCCTACCTGCCTGGTATGTTCAACCCTTCTATTCTCCCATCACGAACTTCTCTTATCCAGGGGAAGTCTCCAGCATCTAATACTAATCCATTTGCACCAGTGTTCCTCTGCTAAAATTACTAAAGTTAGATGTTATGGCATATGCCTATCATCCAAGCACTTAGGGAAGTAGTAGCAAAAAGATCAGTTCATAACTGGTCAGGACATCATGAGACTTTATCTCAAACAACAACAAAAACCCCACAATTGTATCAGTCATTTTTGGAGTGTCTTTGCAAACACTAGAATCTATATAGCTTGAAGAAGTAGCTTTATTCCTTTCCTAATGGTATGTAGTGAGATATCTATCAGCCCACACCTGTTGCACCAACCATGACCATTGGGGACGTGGGGACAGGTCCAGGCGTGACCTGTGGGTATTAGGTTTGGGATCTTGGACCCCAGCTTGCTTTCTTCCTGGTTGGACACCAAGCATCCGGAGGCATCCTTGGGATGGGAATCTGCAGTGGTTATTTGTTTCTGGTATAATTGATTTCTCCCCAAATAAGCATCCATCAGCCTATCATTTCCCGGATGCTTATTTACCATGCTAGAATGGTATGTTTATAGTTTTACATTTTAAGCTGGGCAAGGCAGCATATAACTATCATCCCTAAATTATTTTTCTTTCTGGTAAAACTTAGGCCACTTGTTCTACCCTCATTGCCATTTTGGCAGTGTTAAGACAGCAATTAGACACCGCTTTGACCTGGCTCCTAATTTCCTTTTTGGGAAATGGCCTCTTGATTCAGTTGCTGTTTTGGTCATTTCAGGGTTGTTTCTGTAGTAGATTGCTCTTTAGGAACTAAATGTTCCCTTCTTGAAAAAGCCTCCCCACCTGGGGTTATAAGACCATCATCCAAAAGGGTGGGCCTGGGTTCTTAAGCTTGCAAGACGGCCCTATTGAACATTGTCAGTTCTACCTACCAGCTGTACAGCAGCTTCTATCTGCATTTTGACTCCAAAATTTTGGTAGAGGCCAGGTGCTGAATGTAGGACAGTGCCCAGGATCCCTTGGGTATGGAAAACTTGACCCAAGTCCAAGAAACACTTGTATGAGTGGGGCTTTCTAGGTTGCCTTTGTTATGTAGCCCATGCTGGGCTTGAAGTCCTGGCTCAGCCTCCTGAATGCTGGGATTACAGGAATGTGCCTTGGCACCTGCCTCACTTGCTTTAGCCTACTCTTTTGTAGTATTGGATCTATAGAGTGTTAAAGAGAAGGGTGCATGGAAATTTCATAGGTATTCTGCTGAATTTTTTACAGGTATTGTTTATCCTTTATAATCTCCCAGACGTGGAGATAGATCATCCTATTAACCTACTGGAAACTGACATAATTGTCCAAGCTTGTGTCACTTGAGTTATGATGCAAATCCCTCTCCACTTGTAACCTAAATTTGACCCTGAAGTACTGCTCCCAAGTTTTGAGTCTGTTGGGCTAGGGCTTTCCTCTTCTGTACATTGTCTGTGTTCTTTGCTGAATTCCTCTAATACCTGTACCTGTCTCTGCCCTTTACCTTTATGGAACCTAGCATATAGCTATCACTATACTCTGCGGCAGCTGCATGTAGTTATCTTCAGTGACCTGGGTTTCTTCTTGAATCCTCACCTGGACAATGGCCACCATTCTTTACCCTGCTGCTTAAGTCCACATCTTCCACTCCCTAAATTTTCCATAGTCTGAACTCAGACATGTTCCACTTCTCGACCATCTATAAAGAATTGTGTGATTGAGTTACATAAAACACAAAATGTCATGTTTTTAAAGTAAGCTTTGAATTTTGTGCTGTGCCACATTCACAGCTATCTTTGGCCTGCTTGCTGGCCCAAATTTCATGTTGTTTAGGTGTACGACTTGTATTTTACTATAACATTGGAAAGAAACTGAAACTATAACATTGGAAAGAAACTGAAATTGGAATAGTTGTGAGCTGCCATATGAGTACTGGGAATCAAAATTGAGTCCTCTCTAAAGCATTGAGCCACCTTTCCAGCCCTAGACTCTTTACAATAACCTGGTCTCTTTCATATTTACTTTGCACTGGTGTCCCACCTTCCTCCCTTTTAGCTATCTAGCTACGTACCTACGTATGTATCCTATACCATCTATACCCAGGCTGGCTATGGGCTCTTGATGGTATTGCCTAGGTCTCCAAAGTACTGGGGGTTATAGGTGTGTGCTATCATACCCAGCTTTGCCTTTTACCAGTCCCCCAATGTTCACCATTATGAAGTTGAAAACTGATTGAAACCACCAACTAATCATCAAACTGGCCCGTGCCTTCCCCTAAGGAGTCCCACCAAGAAAAGAATTGGACAGAACATATATAAACACACAAAAGCAATGGAGCACTAGTTACACAAGAGGCACTGATCCTTGCTTTATTCACGCAATAATAGCCAACATTGGGAATTAGGGGCAGAGGTACAAAAGAACAAAGAAAAGAAAAAACTTGCAGTCATAAACAGTTGTGATCAATATGGCAGTGAGTGGTGGCAGGTCAGCCAGAGTGTGGCCCATCTCTTGACCTAACTTGGTTGAGGATAAGTGCCCTATACCACTTCACAGCCAAGTTACTTGGTTAACACTTGGGCTTACTTGAAAATTCAGGGAGGGTCACAGTAATTAAAAACATAATCAAGACATCAGGGCTGGCTGAGTGACTGTTCTTGGGACGTTTAGCAAGATTAACAGTCTGATGGCAGGAAAGTGAGGAGCATCGTGCATATCCTTATCCTGGTGGGTGCAAGTAAGGCAGATTATATATAGCACAGACCCACAAGATGAACCCTCCTGTGCACCAATGGAGAATACCTCACTAACTAGCTCAGTCCTCAGAAGCAAAAGCTGGAGGTAACAGCAAGACCACACACACAGCATCATCTCTTGATTTCACAGCCACATTCAAGTTAGTTTAATACAGAAAAGCATTTGAGGGGGGGGGTCTTTTACTGACCCAGAACACAGGTTGGAGAAGCTTCCTTAAAAGTACTGCTATTTAGACCCTAAGACTTCTCTGTACTACACGTGCTTTCTCAACAACAGAGGCCTAACATTAGTATGTCAGGTATAGGATATACTGGCCTATAACAAGAATTCCAAGGATGGGGAACCTAGCACCTGGTAGTTCCCTTGAGTGACAACAGCTGAAATTTCAGCTGAAGTCAGTCTCAACTGTTGTCACAGGAGGGAAATGAGGAATTGGTAGTGAGGTAGTATCAATCCTCACAAAAGGAAAGAAAACCTTAATTCTGGAAACTAAAAATGGGCTGCTGTCCCATTCTTATCTTCCAACCACTCAAGTCATACCTAATCTAGCCATGTAACTCAAGAGAAGCTGAAAAGTAAATGGCTGCCCGGCTCCAGTGTTTGTCAATATTCAGTTTCTGAGGACAGGGAGAACTTGCCAAAGTCCAGGAACCAAGTTGGATGTTTTGTATTTTGTTAATTTCAACGAGTATTATAGTAAAGAAAACTGAAGGACAGATCAAATTGAAAGAATCAGTTATAATAACTTTAATTTATCTTGCATTTTACAGAAGTCTATGAACGATTTTAAAAAGCACCGCCTTACCCCATCATGTTTCTTTGACAGCTGTTAAAGTAGGCAACGAGTATTGTCAACAGCTTGAGTATCGGCATCTTGCAAGAATTTCAGATCAATCACTTGCCAAAGAACTTGGCAGCTTTTCTATCTTGTTTTTTAACTCAATGGTACGTCCACTCTGATGGTAACCTGTCCAGCCAAATCTCCACCAAACGTTTTGGAAAAATCAATGGTGATTAGCAAATTAGTTAGCTTTGGCACGGAGCTGTGCTCGCTTGCCTGTGACAGCCTGGAAGCCAGTTTTGATACTGGCAACAGAGCATCGAGAATGACAAGTTTCACACTGTAAGAAATATAGTCGGGTGTCCTTCTGTAGGATTGTATCCGGTGATCGGCATGTGTGACAAGTGACGTATTCCTCTGCAGGAAAAGCAACATGGCATTATCTGCTAGACACAGTAAGGCCCATAGAAATGCATGTCTCATAAGTCTTAGCTCAGAGTACAGTTTACCCTAGCCAGGCAAGGAAGCCTACTAAACAGCTATTCTAGGGCTAAGAAAATACAAACTAAGCTATCTGCTATAATGTTTTTGGCTGTATGATACTTGTTCAAAGGACTTAAAATGCCCTAATTAGAGAAGTTTGCTAGATGCCTATTATTGGTGTCATCTATGGATGATCTTACTTATGCCTTAGGTGAGAACAGGCAAGGCATGCCCAATTTTAAAAGTTTTGATAACTAAAGTGGACTGAGGCAGGCAAAGCCAAAACCAGCAGCAGGTTTCTGAGACTTGGTCTTTAGCCCCAGAATCAGCCAGCAGAGGCTACACCATCCTCCTCCTTACTATCATTTTCCATTCTCCCATATAGGATCTCTCTATGTAGACCAGGCTGTCCTCACACTCAGATCTCTTAAGTACTGGGACTAAACGTGTGCTACCATGCGTAACTCCATTTTCCATTTTATGGATCTCCTCAAAACACCACAGTCTAAAGAGAACATTTCAGAATGATATGATAGAATTCAATTATATACTTACTGATATATCTTCTCAAGACATTTTCTATCTGTTTCTGTTGGAATCTTCCTTTGATTACAAGTTGGTTATTACCATCTATAGAACCACTATGAAAGAAAACAAATAAACCCATTACTTTTGTTCATTTTCCTCAGGGATCCCAATTCCAGCACCTTCATACTTAATTAACTTAAACTATATTCAATTGTGTAGGATAATTTCTAGGGTGTGTTATACTATCTTCAAATTTTATTTCTATTTTTTAGTGACAGGAAATTGTATGTCCCAGGCTGTGGCCTCCTCTGCCTTACAGGTGCTAACATTACTCACATGAACTCCCACCTTCACTTGGCCTCAAAAATTCTCTTAAGTTTATCTCTTTTAAAGATTTTATTCTTAATTGTGTGTGTGTGTGTGTGTGTGTCTGTGTAGTTATATATGTGCATGTGTGTGCTGGTTCCTGTGGAGGCCAGTGTTGGATCTCTTGAAACTGGAATGGTAGTTGTGAGCCACATAACATGAGTGTTAGAAACCTTGAGTCCTCTAAAAGAGCAATTACCTTCTCTGAACTGCTGAGCCATTTCTCCAGACCCTCAAAAATCATTATTTTGAGATTGAATTTCCTTGTGTAGTCCTGGAACTCACTCAATATTATCAAGCTGGCCTCAGAGATCCACCTGCCTCTGCCTTCTGAGTGCTGGGATTAAAGTGCTACCACTGTCAGGCTCCTCAAAAATTTTAATTTAATGACTTACTCATATTTCTTAATATTTAATACAACTTCAGCTATCCAGTAACAATCAGATTTGTAATTGATTTGATGTCCAAAACAAACTGATCCCTTAACTGTGTAGGTTTGACTGCCTGTTCAACTTAAGAAAAGGAAACTTTTACTGAATGCATACCAACTGCAAATATGAGGGAGGTATAAACATTGAAAGGGTTGTATGTTATTTTTAAAATTCTGACGCTAAGCATGGTGGTGCACACCTGTACTCCCAGCCTGTGGGAGGCAGAAACAGGAGGACTGCCATGGGTTTAAAGCAAGCCTGAACTACATGTGAGACACTTTCTCAAAAATCAATATATAAATAAATAAATAACTTTTAAGCCAGATAAAGTGGTATGAATCAGTAATCCAGTCATCAAGTAGCTTAGCCAAGAGATCACTACTTGAGCCTGGTTAGGCAACATAGTAAGACCCTATCACAAAATAAATTAAAAATAAGCACTACAGGTTTGATAAGTTACATATAATGGCACAGCTGAAAATATACATTTGTGAGCTGTATTTCAAAAAGATATTACCGAAAAAAAAGTAAAACTGAAATTTGATATTACAAACTGTCAATGATAAACTCAATGATTAGAAACAGCTGACAAACACTTGAGACAATAAAGATCCTTGTTAGATAGACATTATTGTTTGTTAAAAATGATAAATCAAGGCTGGAGAGATGGCTCAGAGGTTAAGAGCACAGATCCATCTGGAAGCACAGATCTGGAAGATGGATCTAAGTACAATTTCCAGCACCCATATGGCAGCTCATAACTGTTAACTCCAATTTCAGGGGATCTGACACCTTTATGCCAATGAACATAAAATGAATTTAAATTATTACAAAAGAAAAAAATCAGAAGATGAAACGACAAACCCAAGTTTAAAAAAAAAAAAGAAATCATAAAAGTAAAACAAAATTAAGTCTACAGAGTTAAAGTTATATTTGTTCTTAACATAAGGTGGACTTTTGCAGAAACTGACTTTCCAGAAGATTTACCATAATATACCATGAATTGTAACCTTTGATTCCCCGCCCCCCAACCTAGGCTACCCTGATTCCAATGTAGGGCATTTTCACTGTCCAAAAAGAAAACAGGCAAAGAAATGGGAATTTCTTTAACCCACTGACCATAAAGTTAACACTAGTCACAACCTGCTAGAATTTACCACACCTCTACACCAAATGCAGGTTTATTCTGAGAAGAAATACGTGGTTAGCTTTCTTTATGCTTAAACAGTGAGTATAAGTAAAAACCACAACTGTTTACAATCTTCTGATAATTAAGATGAATTTTTCTGACACACAAGTGGTTCTTTTGAAGTGTCAAATAGCACTCTTTTTGCATAGTTCCTTACCTTGTACCCAATTCTGCCAATAAAAATGCGAGGAGATGTTTGGGTTGACGATGTAATCTAAAAGGAAAATCAAACACGTAAATCCTAAGACAAAACAGAAGCCATGATGTTTATTATTTCACTGTGATTACTCAGTTATTAGGTGTCTCTGTGAATAGCTCACTTGTGCATAGAAATAAGTAGCACTGGCTATAATTTCACACCCAAGAGGCTGGAGCAGGATGATGAACCTTAATTTCAAACCCAGCCTAGGTCAGTGAATGCCAGTTTCAAAACAAATATGCTAGAGAAACAGTTCAGTAGTTAAGAAAATTAGCTGGGGGGGGGGGGGGGAGAAAGAAAAAGAAATTTGCTGTTCTTCCAGAAGATGAACTAGGTTTGATTCCCATCTCCCACATGGCAATTCAAACCACACATAACTTCAGTTTCAGGAGATCTGGTTTCCTCTTCTGGCCTTGTTAACCAAGCATGCATGTGGTAAACAGACAATACATACAGACAAAACACCCATACATATTAAAAAAAAAAATAAAAACCAACAAAATGATATATACTATTTTGCAGCTTGGTCCTCATTAAGATATTACATGCTATTTCTAAACATACCTACCAAGTAAATACCTAAAAGCATGAAAACAAAACAAAACATTAAGATCATAGTTAAACTATGATTATCTCCTAAGAGTGGGTTTAAAAATAACCTTTGATTTTCTTACTGTATCTTTTCTAATTTCTAGTGAACATATACTATTGCTGTCATCATCAAAAAAGTAAAACATGCTGAAAGTAATGAAAATGGATTACTTCTTCTATAACAAGCAAGTATGATTTATAAAACTAAAAAACAGTAGGATAAAGTGGGTGGATGGAGAAAACTTGCCAGAAAGGGCAGTAGTGACCCCAGCACAAGGTGCAATGGTGATTAAAAGCTAAAATATTTATCTCATCCACTGAATCCAGGAAGCTTATATTCGACTACTTCCTCAGAGTTCACTGCTTATTAGGCAGGCCCACCCCTGACTTGAGAATTATATCCAGCCTCTTCATTCCTGACTCCGCTTAGGAGCTACACTATCCCCAGCTCACCATGTGTACATGTGTTTTGCCTGCACATCATATTCCCTGGAACTAGAGTTACAGACAGTTGTGAATTCCCATGTGGGTGCCAGAGTCATCTCTCCAGTCCCTAGGATCTACTCCCATTAGTTGGTTATTTTCTTACCTTTAGATGCCAAGATAAAATGAACTCTGACAACAGACAGACATGAACTGTGACTTCCCTCAATCTATGTATGCCCTATGTACTTTTATGTACTTTTTTCAACCTACAGAAAAAGATGACCATATTTAAAATGTATGTATGTATGTATGCATGCATGCATGCATGCATGTATTTGAAATAAATGGTTTCCACTAGCCCACTTACAGTTTACAGATATCTGTAAAGTTGACAAAAGAAGTTTTCTTGGTTCCTACTCGGACAACCTGTGGAGGTTTCATAACAAATTTCCTCTTCTCTCCAGCAACCATATCTGGATTCTTTTCTCTCATGATGTTGAACACTCGGTTCAGCAACTATAAGGAATAAGAATTCAACCACATTCTTAGTGATAGCAAAAGTATAAAATTTCTATACGAGACACTTTGCTTTAATAAAGCTATTATATTTTTATTAAATGTACACATGGATCTCCACATGTTCTGGGAACTTCTTGAGGAGGACAGCAGCTCATTACTTACTTATGCTCAGTTATTATACCGATTTTACAGGAAAGCATGTAGCATATGGGAAAATGAAGAAACCACAAATGAGCAAACTCCACAGTACCCTAACCACAAAGTGGACACTTATCACCAAGGTCCCACTGAGTCCCAGAGGGCTCCATACTATAGTGACAGACACACTGAGCAGGCTGCCCCACAAGCTGGTATCTGTTGTATTACCAATCTGTATCTCAGTGGCCCTTCCTATGCAGGGGATCTATGCCTACTTTTCTCTGGGCTCAAATGATAGCCTTTAACTTCCTCCTCCTCAAAAACAAAACCAAACAAAAAAAGAGAATTTGTCTCACCTCCTCATATGTGTAGTCTCTTTCTGAGCCTGCCCAAGCAGGCCCAGTCTGGTTACTGAATGAAATGCCATCGTCTTTTTTGCTGTCTTCATCTTCTAAAGCTACAAATAACAAAGAGTACGAATGAGCAGAGGGCTTTAATCCAACAAGGAGGAACACAGATCTAGAGAAAAAAAACTTCAGATATTGCTCTTCCCTTTCACAGTGACAGCTGCAGTAGCTTCACATACAAAGGGCAACACAGAAGCCCCTTTCCTTTATAGACAAAAATATTACAACTTCACACAAAAGCTTTAATGACTTCCACAGTAACAGTGAAATGTTTCTTGACAAACACAAGACAAAACATTAAGTACTTAAAGGCAAGCCCTAATGTTTTCAAACCCTTGAGAAACTTCTATATAAAACTCATCGGTTTAACTATGTTTAAAAAAAAAAAACTTTAAAAACCTATAGCATATAAAACTGTAAGTATTAAAAATTTTAATACTTGAAACTCAATTACACTAATTTTCCTGTGTGAATCATATAGTTTGTGTATCATTTTTAATATTTTAATAAAATGAAATTTTTTGCCTACCACTATCAAGTTAAGACACTTTTCAAATTTCATTATCATGCAGTGGAAATAAAAGGCAGAACAAGTATTTTTTAAAAGCTCCTCAAGCTAGTCAAGGAGACCCAAATCAAAAGCTTATATAACTTAAAACCAGGATGTTAAGTTCCCAACATTACCTTCGTCTTTTTCTAGTATTTCATCTTCATCTGGGAATTTGACATTCTTCTTTTTCTTCTTTTTATTGCCAAGCATAATATCCAGGTCATCCTCTGGCTCAGCTGGCTCTTGAGCATCACTTTCAATTTTAAGATCCTAAGAAATTGAAATAAGTCTCAATATTTTGATACTAGAACTATTTTTAATGACACAGACAAGTATCATTTTAGAATACTCACATACTCAAAGCTAAAATTATAGATGAGAAATGCTTCTCAGGTAAACCAAACTGCCTCAGACTCTTTGTCAAATATTTAAACTGTGAAGTGCTTAAGGTAATTTTATAGGCTTGTTCCTTTCTTCAGCTCCTTTTTATTAGTCTTAGGATGTTGTTGCTGTTACCTGTATTCTACACCTGACTCTACCTGAATCACCTGAGAAACTTTACCATTCTTCAATCTTCTGACTGGACACATTTAACAGGAACAAGGCTCAAAAGTATTTTAAGCTTCTCTGCCTTTCCCATGGTTTATTTTATTCATACAATATGTTCAGAATAGGTAAATCTTCAGGGAGTAGATTAGCAGTAGCTGAGGCTAAGGTTGGGGTTACTGAGAAGAACTAGAGAGTGACAATGACAATGGGCTCTGTTTTCAAGAGGATTTAAGTGTTCAAATTTATGAGTTACAGAATTCTGAATATGCTGAAAATAATTTACTTTAAATAGATGAATTATACCTTAACTTTCTTGCTTCAAAGTAGTGGTTTTCATTACTGTATTTGCAGGCATACTTGTTTTTGCCCTCAACCCTTCTTCATCCCCTTTAAGTTTCTAAATAGGACAGTCAATGGAAGGAATTTTCTTACTGACACCAAATATATGATAATTTTTTGCATAATTCTCTAACTCCCCAATACAAAGTAGGTATAATACTGATTACTTGGAATAATAAATCAGATACCTTATGTTTAAAAATTTGCCTTCATAGTTTAAGGGTTCTCATTTCGGATACTAGTAGTGAGTTTCACTTACACTTCTGCTAAGCTACAAATTCAAAGACCTTTGGCCTCTACTGAGTAATTTGCTAAAACTCAGAGCACTCAGCAAAGTTTTACTAATTATCATTGGTTTTCATCAGATTAACTGAGAAACAGCCAAATGAAAATAATGCATGGGACAAACATGGGAGTTGAAAGGGAATCAAGAAAAGCCAAGTATCTAAACATGCTACCCTAGCATCACTTCTATGGGGTTACGAACCTGGATGCTTTGAACTCCATCACTTATGGGTGACAGAAATCAGTATCCACACTATCCACAGAAGTAGCAGAGGTCATTCAAAGTTCTAAACCCTAATAATTGACCTTCCTAGTGACTAACCATCCTGAGAGATGGACACCAGGTTTCTCAAGAGCAAAAGACATGTATTACCTTTGAAGACTGCAAGGGTTTTCAGGAATTGAATGTGGGGTATCAGAGGTAAAGACCTAATTACTTTTTTTATATTTATCACATCAGCTTAGCACCAAACTATGAAGAAGTTGCTGGGCATCAGTTCAATAGATGACCTCATGAAAGAAGGGAATACACAACTCATGGAGAATCACTGTCATGTGGCAAACAGATAGACATGATACAGCCTGACTCCAAAGTTATTTGCTTACTTGCTGTAGACTTAAATGTGAAAAACGCACATTAAGTCCTAAGAGATGATGAATTATAAGCTCCACAAAAGAACAGAGACTCAGCCTGTTTCTTGGCTTCTAGCTTCTGACCAGCTTAATCTGCTCCCTAACCCAAGTATATTAGCAACATGATCACCATTACATTTTTTGTGTATCTATGTCTTGAATGATTATTGACAATGGCTATAATTTCACAGATCTTAACATATAATCTCAAATATATAGGAATAAGTAAAACTCAAACATGGGCTCCTAACTCTAGCTGTGTAGTTTTGGTGCCACAATAATAAACCTATATTGGACACCTTATAAATAAGAGATCAAATAGTGACCTAGTCTATATGATGATACATACACCAGCAAGGCTGTGGTCATCCACACTGTCTAACTAGGAGACCTGTAACATCCTTTTAGGCCGTTAACTCCAGAAGCAGAGAAACGATTATCACATCATTTAACAGAAATGGGAACCCATCAGTAACCTTTTCGGACAAAAGCTACTGAAGGAAATCAACCAACAAAAGTATTAACCAAGATTACAACCATCTAACTCCAATTACAGGGGAGCCGATGCCCTTTTCTGGCCTCTGAAGGCACTGCATGCATGTGATGTATAATCATATCAAACACCCATACATGTAAATGAAATAATCCCCCCCAAATATTTTTTAAATAGTCTAATTTATCCTTGAAATTCACCATTGGGGGGAAAAAACAAAACAAAAACCACCAATAAAGAAAACCTTAATTCTATAGTGAGATATTCACCCTGTTCGTACCTGTTGCACTGACCACGCCCACTGGGGGGTGGGGACAGGTGTGGACATGACCTGGGAGAATTAGGTCTGGGGTCAGGGACCCCAGAAGCTCTCTTGCTTCCTGATCAGACAGATAGCATCTAGAGGCATCCTTGGGATGGAAACCTGCTGGCGGTCATCTGTTTCTGTTGTGACTTCTTTCTGAATAAACATCTATCACCCTGTTTTCCCCGATCCTTATTTATTCCATAATGCCTCCTTATTTATCCATGATACAATTCAATGCAAATTAAGCACACTGACTCAATTTGCTGAATGGATTACCATCTAAACTATGACCTTGTTTCCAGATTACTGAGTGAACTACCTGTTACATGTAGGCAATACTTTACAAACTATCTACCAAAGAAAAAGTTCAGTATGTATATTATAAAACAAAGCCCTTAATACATGACTGTTTATGCTTTTTTCACTATGAACATATATTTGTGAATACACAGACACACACACATAAAATTACTATATGCTCATTTTATAACTGGGCTTTGTTAATGTGATTTCTGCATAGAGCCTCTGTGTATGTGTGTGTACATACAGTATGCAATGTGTCAGTTTACACTTGGCCACGTTTGTGTGTAGAGGCCTGAGGCTGACTTTGGATATTTTCCTCAATTGCTTCTCCATGTTATTTTTATTGGTTGTCTGGTCTAACAGTCAGTGAGTCCAAGGAACTACCCCTTTCCACCCTGCCCAGGGTCAGGGTTACAGGTACATGCTGTCAGGCAAACTTTTTATGGTGGTCCTGGTGATCCAAATTCAGGTCCTCGTGGTTGCCCAGTAGACACCTCAGTCACTGAATGCTCTGCTTAGCCCTTATCTTTAAAATGAGGAAGAACCATCTTTCAGCTACTCTGTTCATCCATCTACCTCCTATTCACCTCCTACTTACCTATCTACACTTTATTCAAATAATTTTCAAATTTCTGTATTGGAAATCAATCCAAGAGGATGACAATCATAGGGGTTAAGTCTCTACGAGATCAGATCAGAGCACTCTCCACAGAACTTCCCAGAGGAGCCTAATTTAGGATCACTGCCATCAGTTACCAACTACCACACTGGGGGACTGCTGGTACTGAAAGTTCAACACACACAAAAAAAGCCGTGGTTAATATTTGTTCCTCAAGATTTCTCAGTTACAGACATTTTTCCTTAGCCAAATAATTTTAGCACGGTTAAAAGCAATGCACATTTCCTGAGTCCATTTTAATGACACAATGTAAGACCTAACTCCCTCTGAACACGAACACACGCACGCACGTACATACATACACATGTGAACACGCACGCACATACATACATACATACGTTTTTCAAATCAGGGCTTCTCTGTGTTGCCCTGGCTGTCCTGGAACTAGATCTGTAGACCAGGGGGGCCTCAAATTCAGAGATCCACCTGCCTCTGCCTCCCAAGTGATGGTGATACAGTCCTAAGAAAACTACCTTAATAGTGGCTAAATGCTAAACAACCAAAGCAAAACTACTAAGAAATGAGATGAAGAAAAGCTTTTAGCAGTCTTTCCAGAATTCCAATTTTACCTTCAATAAGAAAGCTATACTACCTTTACACCTTCTTCAGCTTCATCAATGTCAAATATCTTTTTTGTTTTTTTCTTCTTTTTCTTTTGATTAAAGAAGTTCAAGTCATCTAAGTCATCAGAAGCATCTAAAAATAGATTAAAGATTTCCAATTATTAACCATTAGAAGGCAAGGCATCAAGTTATGAGTAACATCAACTCCTTTCATGTATTCTTATGGTGTCCTACGGGTAACACCAAGTTATGGTTTTGAAGAAACTGACAAATCAACTCAAACTTTCTAGAAAAATTGATTAGGGGCCCTGGCTGAGAACATCAAACTCAAAAATCTGATCATGTAATGTCAGAAGTGCTCTCTGACACAATCTCCAAGACTATCCAACTGTATCTCTTTACTTCTGTCTACCCCTCTGATCTCACCCACCTTCCATCCCTCAATCTCTGGCTCCAGCTCTGCCAAACCAGTGAAGGAACTAAGACTTCCACAACAACTGTGACTGATACAACCACTCACCTTTTTTCCTACTGTCTTCTTCATCAGCTTCCACATCTTTGTCTTCAGTTGGTTCTGGCTCCACTTCTTTTGTTTCTGAGGGCTGGGTTTCTTCTGTCTGGGCATCACCTTCTTCATCTAACATAAAAGGCTTCTTCTTCTTCTTCTTCTTTTTGCTCATAGTAGGATCAAAAATCATCTGTTTAAATTTAAAAAGATCAAGTGACTATTTTTAATGATGTTCACATTTCAAATATGCTTTATTCTCTCCCCCACCCCCCAGGAACTAGCTCTTGTAGACCAGGCTGGTCTCAAACTCACAGAGATCTGCCTGCCTCTGCCTCCCAAGGGATTAAAGGCATGTGCCACCACCACACAGCTATATGCTTTATTCTTAAAAAATGAGATACATTAAAATCCCAAAGGGGGGGACTGAGGAGATGCCTCAAAGTATAAAAGCACTTGCTCCCAACCACTTGCTTATTTGCAATAAAAGGCAACAAAAATACAAAACAAAACAGATTTATACATAGTCCATCTAACTTCCTTTACATTACTAAACATGGGGAGAACCTCACACATGCCTTTTAATTCATAAGATATCATAAGCTATAACTTCCTTTTTATTTTCATGAGCAAGTTTAGACCTGGATGAATCATCAAGTTTAGGGGAAGGATCTTAACAATAACCTATGTTGTATTCCTGATTAATAGGTGAGATCAACAATGTCTAACACCAGGTGACTTAAGACTTGATTTTTAAAATTTTTATATGCTGAGTAGTATTTGGAGAAACTCGAGGTAAATACAATCAAGATATATTGGAACATATATGAAATTGTCAAGTGTACCTACCAGTGGTGGCACACTCCTTTAATCTCATTACTCAAGAGGCAGAGGCAGGTGGATCTGTGTGAGTTTAAGGGCAGCCTGGTCTACAGAGTGAGTTACAGGACAGCCAGAACTACACAATGAAACCCTGTCTCAAAAACCAAAAAGAAATCATCAAAGAGTAAATAAAATGTTGAAGTTCACTTCAATTTTAACTTTTAAGGAAATCTATCAGGAACCCTATTGTAAGAAAAATTTCTAAAATTCTAAAAATTTTCTATTTGTTAGAAAATTTCCTTTACTGTTTTTATTATGGAATGTAAAATGTTCACAAGCTATAGAACAAGTGAAAAATTAATTTCTAACCAGTAGATTGTTTGCATTGATCCCTTGACATAGTTTGAACACATAGGGCATATTCCTGGTAGCAAAAAAAAAGCAGTCTTTAGTCAAACAGAATTGGATTTGAGTACAATTTTTTTCCCTACCATGCTTAAACTTAGCAGTTTGTTCGTTGTGCAGTGACCAAAAGCATAGGTCTAGAGTCCAAGCCTGTCTCAAAACAATAAAACTTTAAAATGGCCTGAAAATTTCTGAATGCCTGACCATTATTAGGGAACCTTCCCCTCCTCATCAAAGAGCATTCACATTCCTGTGTCACTTTTTAAAGGCAATAGTTTTACTAGGTTAAAAGGAATCATGTTTTAGTGAGTTTGGGGATTAATTATCCTGTTTTTGGTTTTTTTTTTTTTTTTTTTTTTTAATGTGTTCACTTTACACCAAGAAATCATTTAAAGAAAAGCTACTTTTAAAAATAGCCTTTTATTCTCTATCCTGCCTACCAGTCAGAATAACCAACTGTGGAATGTCCTGTGAGGTTTATAAGTCACTTCCAAGTACAGATTTTCAGTTAATCCTTATTGTTAGTAGTCATAAGGGGTTTGCCTGGTAACACTTCCCTAGTCAAAGCACTAGGTAAACCAGAATCACACCCCATGTCCATCCCTCCCTCTACCAGTAAATTCCACCTGTGAGAATAAAGCCAAAGGCTGAGGTTCTAGTATCATTCAACTTACTGCATGGCCTAATCTCCTTGAGTCCTAATTTTCAATTTATAAAATGAAGTTGTACTGACAGGTCTAAGGACCAAGCTACTACATACTTTAGACTTTCAAGAGACTGCTGCTGGTCTGAAAGCTGATTCCACCATCTCTGCTTGATAAAAATCCTGTTCATCCTCTAGACATGAATTCTTACCCCACACCTTTCAAAAGATCTCATTACCAACAAATGACCTCTCAACCCCCCTCCACCACTACAGGTGTTAGCTATTACCTCTTACTACACCATAAGTACTTTACCATAGAAGCAATAGATCTAACACAGCAGTATATAGGTAGTTAGTTATGAAGTTTGGGACATGAATAGAAAGAAAACAAGGGTGGAAACACTTCCTCTCAGAACTTTTCTAATTCATACATAATACAGTAGCTAAGAGCAATTTCTACCGTGTTTTTCAAACAAGAACCATCTATCATCTCCTTCAGACTGAACTACTTAGTAAGCTTCTGAGAGCCTCCTGGTCATTTAGATGAGAGGCAGTATCACACAGATCTGGGATTGTACTAGCTCAGCCTCTTGGAATTTGATTATAGGCATCATAAATTCTAGTTTTCTCATCTCTAAAATGGATCTTATTTTACAGAACTGTGAAAAATCAACAAAAATAAGATTTTTGTCTCCTGAATCATTCTCAAATACCTTAATGCAATTTTCTAAGCACTCCATGAACTAGCCAGTGTCTATTTCAACCAAACTGGTGAATACTTCACTTTCTTTAAGCACTTTTTTCTTTCTTGACCATAAATGCCTTGTAATTCATTCTGATCATCAAAAGCCAACTCTGTAGAGAGCCTCCAACTGTTCTTATCCGTCCCTCTCCAAGGCCCTGTAAGTCAATTAAATAACAAATTCTCTATTTTGGGGGGGTGGGGGAGAAGACTAGGCCGCTAGATCCAATATTAAGCAATATGTAACCAAGACAACTGTAACCTCTTTTAAAGTCGTTTAATTTTATGTGAACTGGGATAAATCTGGGAGGGCAAAAAGTAAAATTAAACATGGAAGGGGATTTGATGCAAGTCCAGTGGAAAAAAACCCAGTCCAGTCAGCTTCGCATTCCGGACTTCCCTGCTCACTTCGCGTGTTAAAGGGAACTTAGGGACTCGCGCCCGTAAACTTTCCTCTAAGAGTGGTCACTTTTTTGAGACTAAAATACCTTTTCCTCTGGTCCTCACACCGTGTCTTAAGAAATAAAGTTTCGAGCGAGGAAAGGGAACGAGATTCGCCCGAAAAAGCCAGCTGACAAAGTTTTTAAGTACGGTACTGCACCGGAACCGAGGGAAGCTTCTCAAGGAACCAGAGCACTCAGCAGGGAAGCTGCGGCGGTAGTGTCTGAAAAGAATGCCGGGGCCGCCTGCCCCAGTTTTATTTAATCGTGTAAACTAACTCGGTACTCAAACCCTTTCAGAGAGGGCGACTCAACGTGCTTTCCATTCCGAAACACCGATCCCGGCAGAAGGCCGGCCTCGACGCCGTCGCCCTGAGAAGAACTGGGTGCGGCCAAGTCTGAGGATCCGGAGTCCTCGTCGGCTCCACAGCTCCGGGCGCCTAGGCCCGGCTGCTCCACATGGCGGCCGCCCACCGCTAGGCCGCAGGCCCGGCTTCCCACATTTGTGTGGGTTCGGCTTCCTGCCTCAGTCCTTAGCTCTAGCTCCGTGCTCAGGCTCTCACCTCGTCCCCGGACATGGCTGCGGTTCTAGCGGGTTCAGCGCGGGTGGGAAGTCAGACCGGTCAGCTTCAGACCCCGGAGTCGGCGCAGCTCCTACCGATAGCTCTCCCAGCACCGCGCTAGGCTCTTGCATCAGCGAAAGGGAACGATACCCCGCCCTCCTCTCAAATGTTGTAAGTGCGCCTGCGCAGAGCTCGCCAACGCGCAGGCGTGCGGCAGAGACAACCTCGCGTGCTGCTTGTGGCGCGAGTTACCAGGCGACATCTCGGCGCCGGGCATGCTGGGACTTGTAGTTTGCCTAGGAGAAAAGGGCGCTTGAGCTACAGCAGTTCCCGAGGTCGTGAGCAAGTGTTTTAGCACCGGTCAGGAGGTTCGGATTCTTGAGCTGCTGGTTACCTCAGCGGTTCTGGAAGCTCTGAGTTGCTTTTAGTGTGAATTTGGGGCCATTCCTCTGAAGTTAGGTTAGTGACACTCTATAATATAAACCCGTGGGATTGATTTCCCACACGTCCCTGGGGTGTTCTAGAAGTCGAGGAATTCTAAGGGAGCTGGAGGCATGCACCTCATTAATGGCCTTTTACTTCGTGAAAACTTTTAAGTTGCTGTCTTTTTACTTCAGAAGTATCTTCCCCGGTTCCCCTGAGGTAGACTGAGAAACAGCCCAGCAAGCTACAGTCTGTCAGAAAGCTTCGAAATATATCACAACTCGCTTAATGAAGGAGTGTTGAGAATGTGTAGAGTAGGTAATTAACTTGTTGATGAACCACATACCACACAAGGAAAGGCACTGTAACGTCCTAGGAGATATAATCTGGGAGATATAAGACGCAAGAGCGTCTCTATATGGTGCATAACTGTTAATGAAGTCTTTGCTAGACAATTCTGGATGCATCAATTTCCATGGGGAAGATACAGCTGCCACTTACAGAGGTCTCATCTTCAGTGCCATCCAGTCAAAGATAGTGGAGAGCCAGGCGGTGGTGGACACGCCTTTAATCCCAGCACTAAGGAGGCAGAGGCAGGCGGATCTCTGAGTTCGAGGCCAGCCTAGTCTACATCGTGAGTTCGAGGCCAGACAAAACTGTTACGCAGAGACCCTCTGTCTCACAAAACAAAGATCGTAGAGACTACCCTTGTAGCTAGACAAACAGGACTTGTGACCACAAGGAACAGCAAAGCATCACTGTCTGAAAGAATGCAGTCTGAACTTCTCAGGTGATTGAAGGGATAAGGATTACTGAAAAGCCACTCATAGTACATGAGATGGGGAATATTTAGTTATTTTTGTGGTTAGCACTAATGTTCTTGGTTTTATTTTTGTATTCATACATGATTACAGCATTTGTCTCCTTTTTTCCTTTTTTTTTTTTTGTCTCTCTTTTTTAAAGAGATTTATGATGTGTACAGTGTTCTGCCTGCATGCATGTCTTCAGGCCAGAAGAGGGCACCAGATCTCATTCTAGATGGTTGTAAACTACCATGTGGTTGCTGGGAATTGAACTCAGGTCCTCTGGAAGAGCAGCCAGTGCTCTTAACCGCTGAGCCGCCTCTCCAGCCCTTGTCTCTGTTTTTATCTACTAAAATTACAGTGATTTGTCTAAGCTGGGTATGGTGTCTCTTACCATTCTAGCACTTGGGAGATAAAGGCAGGACTATCAGAATTTCATGGAAGGTAGGGAAGGGGAGGGAGAGAGAAAAGAGGAGAGGAATAAGAAAAGGATTTTCTTAGTGTCTTCTTATGAATCACTTTGTTGTGCACTGTTAACTTATCCTAAAAGTAAACTAAATTAAAACAATGTTCTATGAGATTATTTTGTTCAGCATATCCTAGATGATAATATCAACATACCTCTCCACTATTCAAGGCTATTCTCCTCCTCATTATGATCTATAATACTTTGAATTTTAAAATAACTGAGATAACACGCAAATATTTAGTACCCCCTAAGCATAGCATGTCCTTGCCTCGGAAGAGCCTACAATTTAGTGAGAGATATTTTATTAGCTTCCTTTTCTGGATGAAGAAACTGCTTGTATAGTATTGGGGAAATTATCCACAGTTATATACAGACAACAAAAAAGAGAGCCAGGGACAATTCGATGCTGGTGGCTGCTCTTTTACCTTCATAATTTGACTTGCTGCCACCATACCACAGTCTTCTTTAGCTACCAGCATCTATGTGTGCTAGGATTTCTTGCCAGCAACAGTATTGGCACTTTGGACCCAACAACTTTGTTATAGGTTGATGTTCTCCTCATTGAAAACGTCCGGTGTCAGGTCTGTATTCACAGCTCCTAGTAGCACATTCCTTTCAGTCATGACATTGCCATGGCATTGTCTCCTGGGAGGTGGGGTAAACATCACCCACCCCTGACTGAGAACCACTCACATCTTGTATTTACATCTTGTCTCTTCCTGGGTTATTGAGGTGAACAAATATTCTTGGCTAGTCCTCAACTCAGACTTGGGAGACCTTAAAGGAAAGAGAAGCAAACTGGACTAAGTTTCTGAAAAGCCTGTTCTTTCAATGATTAAAACTGAAAGGGGAAATAAAAGGAAAAGTGATAGAAATGGAGAAAGGGAATTTACAGGAATCATCCTTTCATAATTCAGTCCATGCTAGCAAAGTTAATTGAGTCTAATAAGTATACTAAGGTAGTTGTGCTGTCTAGATTTATGTTAACTTGACCCAGGCTAGAATCATCTGAGAGGAAGGAACCCCAATTGAGTAAATACTCCATAAGATTAGGCTGCTAGGCAATCCTGCAAAGATTTTTCTTAATTAGAGATTGATGAAGGAGGGCCCAAACCATTGTAGGTGGTGTCATCACTGGGCAAGTGGTCCTGGGTTCTATAAGAAAGCAGGCTGAGCAAGCCCACATGGAGCAAGCCAGTAAGCAGCACTCCCCTGCAGCCTCTGCATCAGCTCCTGCCTCAAGGTTCCTGTCCTGTTTGAGTTCCTCTCCTAACATCCTCAGTGATGGGCTATGATGTGGAGGTGTAAAACAAATAAGCCCATTCCTTCCCTAGTTGCTTTGGTCATGTTTTTTAATCATAGCAATAGTAGTACTAAATAAGACAGTAGTCTTCGTAAGGCTTTCCCGTCCCTCTACTATCTATTTGGGAGATATTGGTATACATAGCAAAAAGTCTAATCACTTTGTGGAAAGGATTGTCTTTTCAGCATGATACCCAGTGTAACTATCCTCACCTGTCCACTTGAAGAAACTCTTGCTTCAGAGATTTCCTCTTTCTTCCAAAGTAGTAGTTGGCTTTCCAAGAAAAGTCAGAATCCCCTGATGAACTAGCCAAAGTCACCAAGCAATGATAACTATCTTTTACATTTTTTCTGAGAGATGAAGCCCTCTTTAGCATCGACACAAATAACCATTTGTATTTTATAGCTTTTTTTATTTAACCATTACTATGAAATATTTATTAATTTTTTATTATCTGTGAGAGAAATCACTATAGTTTTTCTATTTTCTAAATAGAGAAGCCAAATTATGGACTTTACAAAAATAGTGAGAAATCTTGAAGTAGCCTACTGGACTATTTACTCTGGACTACTCTTTATGCCTAGCATCATCCCAATTCTTCAGCTGCTGAATGGTAAGTTTATGGTGATAATTAATCAACCCTATACTAAAGTATGTTTTGATGCCCTTGGAACAGTCCTTATGTTATGCCCAGACCTTGGGGTCCCCCGAAAATCACCATGGAGTCTGTACTCATATGCAAAAGCAAAGAGCCTTTATTCAAGTTCAAGGTTTGACTCTCTGTCCTATGCCATGGTTGAGAACAGTAAGCCCAGGCTGGTAAGGTGTTTATGATAGTAGAGGTTGGAGTGAGGGGATTAGGTTCAAGGCCCTGATTGGCTGACATTTGTCTAGGGGTGTCTTGGTGAAAGGCAATAGGTGTGTGCTGGGCTCAAGGACATTTGGTGATCTTATCGAGTGGTTGGGATGTTTGGAATGTCAGGTACTTTCCCGTAGATGCTGGCCTTCCCTGGGTGGTGTCAGCTTGTGGCTTTTCCTGTAACGTAGTACTGCCTGCTAGTAAACTGAAACTCAGGCCTACTTTTTAGCTGGTTTTCATTAAGCATGCCATGGTAGCAGTGTGTCCAAGCTGTTCTGAGCTCCACACTTGTTCTCTTGAGTTGACCATTGTAGTCTAGCTATTTTCTCAGACCTGAAACATTCCCTTGTAGATGAGTGCAAGAAGTTCACAGGACTCAAGGAGTCCAGGGAAAATACAAGTCTCTGAAAGCACTACAAGGTACAAAGTACCTACCCTAAGGTTATAAAAGAAAGGAATAATTTCAGGGGATAGGAAATTTACTTGGACTCCAAGCTCTTCAGGGAGCTCCAGGGATGTAGCTTTTGTGAGTGCACATCCATGTGTGGTAGGCTTTTCAGTGGCACAGCTGTCTATGAGTCAGCTACACTCCTGTAAGGAATGTCAATAAACTTATTGGTTCAACAAACCAGAGGTGTATGATCATTTCTTTGTTCTGTCATTGGAGCCCATTTGGATTGAATAGACATTATTCATGTCTCCCCAGGAAAAGCTATCCAACACACTCACAAAACAGCAGGTCTGTAGAGACTATGACTTCAAATTGTGATCTTGGGAGGCTTGCTGGGTGTGGTGGTTTGAATAAGAATGATTCCCAGCAGGGTCGTGGTGGTGCATGCCTGTACTCCCAGTACTGGGGGGGGGGGGGCGACGGGGAGAGACAGGCAGACCACTGAGAGTGCAGGGCCAGGCTGGTCTACAGAGGGAGTTCTGGGACAACCAGGGCTACACAGAAATCTTGCCTCAAAAAAGCAAACAAAACAACAAAAAAGAATGGCTGACATAGCCTCTTAGTCATTAGGGAGTGAGATTGTTTGGAAGGATTATACGGATTAGGACTTGGTGGCTTTGTTGGAGTAGATGTGGCCTTTGGAGGAAATGTATCACTGGGGATGGGTTTGAGGTTTCAAAAGTCCATGCCAGGTCCAGTCTCTCTCTCTCTCTCTCTCTCTCTCTCTCTCTCTCTCTCTCTCTCTCTCTCCCTCTCTCTCTCCCTCTTTCTCTCTCCCTCTTTCTCTCCTTTCTTCCTTTCCTCCCTCTCTTTCCCCCTCTTCTCCCTTTCCCTCTCCCTTTTCCTTCCTGCATGCAACCA